AAAATCAACCTCTAGTCTTACGTTCAATAGATTCAAAATCTTCATACATCAATAAGAAAATATAGAAAGGGTTCGAGTGAACCCTTTTTTAGACCTCACTTATAACATTATACGACATTTATTATTATTGTTGTTGTTGCTATACAAACTGCCTCATTTTAACCTTTTTACTCTTTTTTGTTTCAATTTATATGACACTTTTTATTTTTTGAGAGTCAAACAATTTAAGTTTGACTGACAATTTACGTATGGAATCTTCAAATTTTTTGAAATGTGATTTATATATTTATAAACTACCTAAAAAATATTATAAGTCACAATAATTGACAATTCAAAACATTTAAAAGATGTATGAAAAAATGACGATCAAAAGATAGACTTGTTTGAATCTTGAAATTCGAAAAGTGTCACATAAATTGAGACCGAGGAAGTAATAGAATCCAAAAGACATAATACATAAATATGCCCTTTAACGTGGCCTCAAATCACATATACACCCTCCAACTTTAAATTTGTACAACTAGACACTTAAACTTATACAAAGTTGAACATATAAACACACATATCCTATATGGCGTTATCCTACATGACATTTTAATTGTGTCCTACGTGTATTATGTCACGTAAGACTCATCTTTCTACTTGTTAAATGTTATATAATTTAAAATGTCTACATCCAAAGTTTGAGTATATATATATATAAAATAAGGTCAAGTTAAATGACACGTACTATTATTGCCAATCCAAAATTCTGACACTTACTTTTGGATTGTGACTTCTCAGTGTAAACACCGAAGCTGTTGCTTTCATGGTTTCTTATGGTCTGAGTGCAGCTGCTAGGTAATGTACAACATATAATTGTGATGTATAAGTTTCAATAATTTGGGGACAAGGCAAGAAAACACTTGTTTGGCAGATCTATTTTGACCTTTTCGGGTGCTCGAGCACCTATTAATCTTATATCAAACTAATTATATTTATATAGAAATTTGAAGTAATGGGGTAAAATTAAAGAGTGAGCACCTATGTATTAAGTAGTGAATTGATGCAGTGGTCATAATTGAGTAATGGCGGAGTCAGAATTTCGAGGGTTCAAAGTTTGTAGAAATAGTCGCACGAAATAGTTGAAGGGGGTTCGACATCTATTATATATACATAATATATTATTTTAACCATGTATAAATAATATAATTTTCCGTCGAAGAGGAATTGTAGCAAGGAGGCTCCGCCCCTGTAAGTGAGTGCTTTAAGATCACGTGCATACACGTGGTCTAGTATAGGCAGACACGCGTATAATATCTATCATGTGTATACACGTATTTATAGTAGACCAAAAAAAGATATATTTGTATAATCTTTTATTTTATTTGATTCTTTCATATTCAAATCGATCAAACCTCATTATTTTCTCAAGACTCAATTTCTTTTATAGATGATTAAAATTTTAACTTTATCACCTATAATATATACTTTATGATAGATAATCTTGATCTTTATTATTGTTGTTTTACAAATTCAAACTTATAATATGCTATGTATAATTATATTGTATATAATATATATGTGCAGCACTAGGGTGGCAAATGAGTTGGGAGGTGGAAATATTGACAAAGCTAAGCATGCTATGTTTGTTACTCTCAAGCTATGTGTTCTTCTTGCTCTTGTTGTTGATTTGGCTCTATTTTTTGGTCATAGTGCATGGGCTGGCCTCTTTAGTGATAGTACACAAATAATAAAAGAATTTGCCACCATGATGCCACTTCTCTTAATCTCATTTGTAGTGGATTTCTTTCAAAGGAATTTTATCAGGTCAGATTCTTAAATTTTCGTATTCAGTTAAAGAATTTGAACATGCATTTAAAACTTGATCTTAGCTATTAGCTAGCAAGTAATTACTTCAGTTTTGAGAGTGCACAGGCATCTGGGGTTTTAACCAAACTAAACCATTATATAAAGTCATTCACCAAAATAGTATGTTTTTCTAAAATTTTACAAAACTAGTATAAACGTATTCCACAGTAACGTTTTAGAATATATTTTATTTTTTAAAAGTTGATGGCGTCAGATTAATATATGTTACTCACAGTATCGTTTTACTCCTAAAACGTTACTGTGAATAACGTTTTAGGAGTAAAACGTTACTTATAGTAACGTATATCAACCTAATGTTGTTAGTTTTTAAAAAATTAAATATACCCTAAAACGTTACCGTGAAATACGTCTATACTAGTTTTGTAAAATTTTAGAAAAATGTATTACTTTGGTAAATTATCTTATATAATGGCTTAGTTTGGTTAAAAATTGGATACCTCATTGGTCTCAATGACTACTAATCACTCTAACTCGACCCTCTTATGTCTCGTGGACACCAAATACTTAAGTGACGCATAATTTTTGGAGGTGTCCAGATGAACATTATGTAAATTGGAGTGTTCAACTGACATAGTGAAAATAAGTTGAGATGTCTAGACGATGTGCATACTCAAAATTGGAGTATTACGTATCAGCTGAGATTAAATTGTTTATTTATGTATCTAAAAGAGAAAATGTAATTGAAATTGATTATAGGGGTGGCTAGGGGATGTGGATGGCAACATTTGGTTATGTTCATCAACTTGGCAACATTCTATTTTATTGGCATGCCAATATCTTGGCTCCTTGCTTTTAAGTTCAACCTACATGCTCAGGTAATTAATCCAAATGTGTTTTATTTTCGTCGAGAGATGAATTCGGAATTCTACTATTATTTTTTCAATTATATTTTCTTCTCCTCTATATACATTCATTTCTTTTTCATATCTCTAATGGTTTGACTATTTCATTTCAATTAACTTTACTCCGATTGAGTTGTTTTTGATATCACATCTTGAAAGTGAATACTGAGTGTTCAACTGAAACCATCAAATTTAAGACTTTGTTGGTTCTCTTCTCATATTGTATAATTTGTCTTCACAAACCCTATAGTGCTTTAATTTTTCGAATTTCAATATTCTCTAATATCAACTAATTAAGAATCGAGTCGTAGTTGATTGATCGATATATTATTATTGATATATATATAGAAAAATACTATATGATTGCAGGGCTTATGGATGGGCTCAATATGTGGGCTAGCCTGCCAAGCTTTGGGCTTATTGCTACTAACATTATTGACCAAATGGGAAAAATTGGAAGATTCAATAAAGAGCAATAGAGAAAATGAACTTTTAGCTTAAGCTTATTGGGCCACTAATGGGCTTATATTATGTGGCCCAATAAAACAATTGATAATGAAATAAATTTCGTATGCGGTTGAAAATTTTATAAATTGGTCATCACTCCATCCACTATAATTACCGCATTATAATTATGTTTTTTTTCTCTCATTGATACCATTATAAAGTAAGGGGAACGCGAAATCAATTTATCATAGTTCTTCTTGCTTCTTTTTTTTTTCGTGATTTGCGATAATATCATCTACATCAGATATTTCTCTTGTAACGCTTTTCGTAAAGTTATTGAGCACATAATATTGAAGTTCAGTATTTTTGTCTGAACTTTAGTCGTGATTAAATGCAGACTTATGTGGCTGAATTCTAATCATTTTTAGGGGTGGGCATAAACATCGGAAAACCGAAACACCGAACCGAATCGAACCGAAATTTTTCAGAATTTTGGTTTCGATATTTCGGTTTTCGATTCGGTATTCGGTTTATATTTTTGTATATTTTAATATTTCGGTTTGATTTTTGGTACATATTATTTTGGTTTTCAGTATTTCGATTTAAACCGATCTTATACTATAATTTATATTATATTAATTAATAATTATTAATATTAAATAAATTTTTTTTAAAAGAAAGTAAGAAACTCTATGGTCCTATTCCTTTCTCTTTCATCTTTCTACTGATTTTCTATTCATTTTGTCCAAATGAAGGACATATCCATATACCTAACTTCATACACCGTATATGAGATTATTACTAAACTGATAGATGCGTAATAGAATGAGTATAGTTTAAATAGCAAGATCCAAATACAGTATCTCATAAAAATTTATCGATCATTCCTTTTTGGAGCTAGTTATTTATTTAGTATATGATAATTTTTTAATTTATGTTTAACCTTATGAACTTTTAGATAATAATCTAAAGATTCGAAAATTGGAAATTATACTTAAAAAACATTAATTAATAATCTAAAATATGCAATTTTTTGTAAATGCTTGAACAAATTGAAAGTGTAGACTAATATTTTGTTAATAAGATTGAAAAATATATGAAAAAAATATCCGAAGAACAAATTTGCCTAACTTTTTAAAAATAAAATAAATTTAATGATGGCCTAAAAAAGCAATACATTGCATTTAATTAATTAAATACACTAACCGTTACGTCCTAAACCTTTTTTCAACTACACTTTTGTCCTTTTTTTTCTCTCATTAAACACATTCTCCCAATTAATTTTTGTCACTAAACATTTTTTTTTCTTTTTTAAATTGTTGTCTCTTTAATTAATTAAATACACTTAACCGTTATGTCCTTAACTTTTCTCCACGTGTAAAATACTATATAATAATTCATTCACACTTTTGTCTACTACTTTTTTCTTTTTTTTAATAATTTTATTCATTGACGATTTTGATATCTGTATTGAAAGTAGATTAAATTTGAATTTGTTTATTGTACGATTAATTTTTCGGAACAACACACTCATGAGGATGTTTTCTCATTTCTGAATGCTTAAATACAAAAAATGAAGGAATCTCAATCATCACATGATAAACTCGATCTCTCTGATTAATCGAACGCATTTTTCTCACTTCTTTATTTGTTTTTTTCCATAAACACATTTTTTCTATAATTATTTCCCAACCCTCTTCAACCCCCCACCCCCCACCCCACCACCACAATCAAATTATAGATATATAACTCTATTTTCATTCTTAAACTTCAACATCAAACTATAAAACTTCCTCTTAATTTTCTCCATTTAATCATCTTTTTTTTTTTTGTATTCTTTCTTGAAGTTGCCTACTTTTCCTTTTTTTTTCTTCTTTTTTTCTATCATCACTCATTCTCCTCTTTTTGTATATTTACATAAATCTACTTATATCACCAAAAAAAAAAATTGTTATAATTATTCATGGCTTTGCATAAACATGTTATAGTGATTCTCTTGGCTTGTTTGATCAACTCTTGTTATGCTTATCAATTCTATGTTGGTGGTAGAGCTGGTTGGGTTCCTAATCCATCTGAAAATTACAATAATTGGGCTGAAAGAATGAGATTTCAAGTCAACGACACTCTCGGTAAGTATATTAAACTGTACGATCATCTCATCTTAAAAACATAATCATAGTCACCAATAAAAATATATATATATTCAATGAAAGTATCCATAAAAAAGTCAATGATACCACCAAAATGACTTTAGAGACGGTGTTCTCGTGGAAACGATTGTCAGAAATCTGTCTTTTTATTAAAAACTTGAGTTTTTTTAAAAAATATTTCAATTAAAAACAAGAAATTTTACTTATCATTGAAAATTTGAGATTTCTGATGTTATTTCAACGTAAATTTTTTCAAAAATTCAATTATTTATCTAATATTGATGTGATTGAGAGTACGTTAATCGAAAATCTATGAAATATAAATCTAATATCGATGTGATCAGAATAGGTTGATCGAAAATTTATGTATATCTAGTAGTGATTGTTATATTATACCTAACCTTATTTGTTTATTGATTGTGTTTTATGTGTTTTTTTTTGTGTGTGTGATTAGTGTTCAAGTACAAGAAGGGATCAAATTCAGTATTAGTGGTAAACAAGGATGATTATGACAAATGCAATACAAATAATCCAATTATGAAAATGGATGATGGAAATTCAATTTTCAAATTTGATCATTCTGGTCCATTTTTTTTTATTAGTGGAAATAAAAATGATTGTCAAAATGGATCACAAAAATTAATTACTGTTGTTTTAGCCATTAGACCTCCTCCTCCTTCAACTCCGGCGACTTCTCCGGCAACTTCCCCGTCGGTATCTCCCGCAACATCTCCGGTGAGTCAAACACCTACTTCATCACCCACAATTTCTCCGGCAACATCTCCGGCGACTTCTCCGGCAACATCACCATCAACTTCTCCGACAACATCACCATCAACATCTCCGGCGACTACTCCGGCGCCGGCGAGTATATCGCCATCGGGGGCGATAATTTCACCATCTCCATCGGGTAATTCATCGTCATCGTCTCCAAGTTCACCGAGCACACCAGGATCGCCGGTGGAATCACCGCCGGGAGGCAGCGGGAACAGTCCGCCGGCGGATATTCCGGCACCTACCGGCTCAAAGAACTCGGCAGTAAAAGCATATTCTACAACTTCAGCTGTTTTTGTGTCAATTTTATTTACTATAATATTTTTTATTTCTGTTTAGTGGAAAATAGATAAATTTATTAAAACATATAAAAATAAAAAAAAAGTTTGTTTTTTTATTTAAAAAAAAAAAGTCTTCGTACGTTGGATTACTGAGAGGTTTATTAGATAGAAAGGCAGTGTTTTATTATTTTATTTTTATTTTTATTTTTTGTTGTTTTTCATAATTATTATGGAATTAATTTCATGAGAGTATATAATAATAATAATAATAATAATAATAATAATAATAATAATAATAATCAAAGTTTGTTCTTGTTAAATAACTAATTAAATAGTTCGATGTGGGTGAATTTTTGTTCAGTTTGAATTGTTATGAAGTTTTGAACACATAAACATATTATAAAATTAATGTAGTTACAAGATATTTAACATTTGTATTTGAATCTTAATATAATAAATATGTGTGTTTATAATAAAAATTAAAATTGAAAAACATAATCAACAAGACTTATTCATCAAGTACCATACCTACCAAGAAGATAAGGATAACAACAGAGAAAAATGAACCAGTATCGCTTATACTATGATCGAAATTAAGGTTTTATTACTTCTTGAATTTTTTTTTTTATAATTTTATATACCTATTTTATGTATCACATTTCGTAACTCCACGCAATTGAGACGCGCGATAGATAATTAAATGTCATGTAAGTCAAAAAGATGTACAAAATTACAAAAAAAAAAAAAATGGATCCAGGAGGTAATAGGACGTTAATTTAGTTAAGATGTGCATCTGAAATTTCGATTATAATCTAGAAATACTTATACATTTTCTCGATAGCTAATATAGTAAGCCTAAGAAAAGACCGAACAAACTAAGACATTTAAAATGACAAACAAATATGAAAAAAGTAATTAAATTTTAGTGAGTCTTTGGAAATTTATTATTTCCAATTATAAAAGTATAGCAATTTTATTAGCAATTAAATGGATTAATAAGTAAAACTATATTAATGGAAAGAACGTTTACTTTAGCTCATTGTGATTAATGCTTTGTTTAATTATTTAGAGCTTTGAATGTTTTAACGTAAACTTAAACAGCAATTAAACTATGTTTAATTGTAGTAATTTTGTTTGACTAGCCTTCCTAAATTTAATGTTAATTTATTGCTCACTTAAGTGCTGTTTAAAAAAATAATTTACAATCACTATTTTTTCATTAAGCAAGTTTCATGTGATACGATGAATCAAAAAATCATACATAAATTTTAAATTTAAATTTTATTTTGAAAAATCAACGGCTCTATCAACTAAACAAAGATGAATTTAGAATTTCTATAACATTTGTGCACCACTCAAAAAGGAGAAAAATGAAAATATAATTGATCTTATTCCTCTAGTTAAATAGTAACTAATTAAATATTCAATTAGTGCATCATTTAGTCTTTTTGTAACATGAATATCAACAGATAACATTAGATTAATTTTTAAAATATATACATAAAATATCTAATTTGATTAAAAAAATCGTAAATCCACTTGCAAACATGCATCATAAATTACCCAAAATCATTGTCATTATGCAAAATTTTAATAAGTTGTGCATAAGAAGAAATTGTGTGATAGTTTTAATTAGACATTTTCGATTCGAAATCTAAATTAACTAAAATATATTATCCCATTAATTATATACATTCGTCACAATAAGTGGGTAAAATTCTAGGCATTTTTTAGTTAAGATTAATGTGTATAATTAAAGTAGATGATCGATATATGATTAATTATCTACTTGCATAGAAGATAAATTAAAATGCATGCACTATTATTTTATGCTTAGTCATGCTTCATTATACACATCTAAACGCCAAAAAATAATATAATAAATAATATTTTGCTTACTCTAAAGTAATTTTCAGAAAATAAAAAATGTGCAAATTATTTAGAAAAATAAATAAATAAATCATTACCTACTTTTGTCATGGTGTATACACTATATATGTATATGTTGCCATATGGCAAGCACTTACTCACCAAATAGAATCCATTTTTCCTCACTCGATATTCGATTTATATTTTAAGATTTGATTAATTTAAATTTTTTGTATCATAAGAATAACTATTTTTTAACGAAGATGACTTCATTTGTAATATAAACATTTGCTTGAACTTTTAAGAGGAAAAATAAGAAAAATAAGGTAAAGGAGTCATGTTATCTCCTTTTTTTTTTCTACCAAGTGTTCGATATTTATTTTAAGGTTTGATTAATTAAAGTTTATAACGGTAAATTTTATTTTAGATATGAAACATTCTCTAACAAAGATAATTTCATTTCCAAGACCAAACACACAATTTTTTATATTACAAACGAAGGGATACTTATCATCTAAACCATAACTTTTCGTGTTACATTGTCATTAAAAAAATTTAAATCAGAACTATAAACGGTAGACTCGTAGTAATGTAGTGATATATTGTAACGACCTGTTTAGTCGTTTTGAGCAGCAGATTTTATTTCTGGAAAAACAGGCTGAGACAACGGAACCCACGACGGACCGTCGAGGGGTCTCGTTTCAAAACACTTAGAAATTCTAAAATTTGGGTACTGAAATCGACTCTCTGAACTTCGTGACGAAAGTGCAGGACGGACCGTCACAGGCGTGACGGACCGTCACAGACAGCAGGATGGACCGTCGCAGGCACGATGGCCCGTCACAGGCTGCGTAATTCCAGGCGAGGTCGGATTTCTTTACACGTTTTAAGGGACGTTTTGGACTATTCCTACTTTAAGTATAAAGTTAAAGGGTTAAGGTTAATAAGTCTAATTACTTGGGGGTTAAAAGAGGTAACCTTAAGTTAATTAGTGGGTTATTATTGCCATCTTTCATTCTTAATTATATACTAATTAGGGTGAAAGAAAGAGGGTTTGAATAAGAAAAAGAAAAAAGAACAGAAAGAGAGAGAAGGAGAATCGATAGAGAGAGACGAACGAAGAGGAAAAACACAAGGCTTAGGGAAATTCTTGCTTGATCACTAGTCTTCGGTGGAGGTAGGTTATGGTTTCTCTTACGATATTCGTAGTAAACTCTTAATAGCGAATGATATGTATTGATAATATTGTAAACCCTGTTATGTGCTTACTTGTATGCTTGCATGAATGTAATTATATAATTGTGATTATATAAGCACGATGAAGTTATTGAATCCCAAATCTTGAAAAACCCTAATCTCTTTGTTAATGATGAGGCCTTGGTATAAAAGAAGGCGTGATGAACTAAAATAATGAGATTGATGATGCCTTGGTGAGAAAGAAGGCTTGATAAATTGATAGAAGGAGATTAGGGGATCGGGTGCCACGTTCCGGTACCAGGATAGAATGAGGATCGGAGTGTCACGTTCCGACACCAGGATAGAATATGGATCGGGTGCCACATTCCGGTACCAGGATAGAATGAGGATCGGAGTGTCACGTTTCGACACCAGGATAGAATATGGATCGGGTTCCACGTTCCGGTACCAGGATAGAATGAGGATCGGAGTGTCATGTTCCGACACCAGGATAGTATATGGATCGGGTGCCACGTTTCGGTACCAGGATAGAATGAGGATCGGAGTGTCACGTTCC